GACATTTCGACGGCGTTCCTACAGGGACTGAACTACGAGCAGCTGCGTAAGCACGCCAAGCGCATGGGCATCGAGGTTCGTGAACAACGCAAAGTGTATCTTCAACCTCCGGCCAACGTTTGGCGACACTTTAGGGAGTACGAGAAGAGCAACATCAGGATTCCCGAGACGGAAGTATGTTTCTTTGTATTGCAGCTGCTGAAACCCATCTACGGCACAGTGGATGCACCTTTATTGTGGCAGCTGGCTTTATCATTACATGTGTTGGACGACATGAAAGGAGTTCAGAGTGTGTTCGACGATAATTTCTTTATGTGGGTCAAGGACGGCAACATTAGGATGGTATGGACGGTACACGTGGACGACATTATCGTATTGGCGAAACAGGCATGGTTGTTATGGGGTCTCAACTCAATGGAGAAGCGATTCGGCAAGATCAAGAGACACGAGCTTCCTTTCACGCACATGGGTATGAGTTATGAAGTATTGGGCGAGAGACACCTATTTATACATCAACATGTGTTCACGGAAGGACTGAAGAAGATCGAAATACCCTTCAAGCTCAAGGACAAGCTCGACCATGAATGTGACGCCAAGTTGACGCATGATTTGAGATCAGTACTTTGTTCACTGTTGTGGCTTTGCCAGACACGAGAGGACATCTATTGCGACGTGGTGCAGCTTCAGCAGATCGTGAGGAAAAGCAATATCGGACATCTGAAGCAGGCCAACTTGATCGTGGACCGCGCCAAGAGGAACATGAAGATGGCGGGATTGCATTTCGCACCATTATCTTATCCGGTCAGGCTAGTATCAGTTGGAGACGCAGGCCACGGCAACACGAAGACATCCTATCCCCAAGAAGGATCGGCGGCATTTCTCATGGAGGACCACATGTATCAAGTACGAATCGACAAGAAGGACCTAGTAGACCCTTGTGACAACCACCTCCTCGGAGGCTCAACCCATCCTTTGATGATTTCTTCTGGGAAGTCCAAGCGTATATCTCATTCCACGTGCAACGCAGAGACGAATGCTGGCTACAAGGTGAACCAAGCGGCCCAGTTTATCGCATTACGGATGAGTGAGATTATCATGTGTTCAGATACTCAACACAAGGCAAAAGACATGATGGAGATTTTCGATCGTTCATTGTATCAAGTAAGAATCGACCACTGCACGGACTGTATGGACTTCTGGCAACTATGCTGTGGAGTGAAAGGAGTACCTTCGGACAAGTCAAGCAGGCTAGCAGTACTGAGTATGCGCGAGGAGAGGCTCAGCGGACGAATCCGCAACTTCATCCACCTGCCCACCGAGGTGGTCATAGTCGACGGGCTCACTAAGACGGGCACGTTCAAGTTACTCATGGAACATCTTACGACGGGCCGATGGCATGTGAGACCACCCAAGGGCAAGTATATCACGATACGACGTATCATACATCAACAGGACAGTTACTCAGAGCAGGATCTGTTAGATCTCAATGAGTAGAAGTTGTGAGGAGAAGAATTCGAATGCAACTACAAAGGCAGCCAACGAATGTTATTCAATGGATAGGCCAATGTTTTTTTTGGTGAAGTTCACGATGGAGGTACTACGGCAGTACTTCATGGACATCATCGACCACCAGTGCTTTGTGGACGAGGCTTGACTGCCTCCCTTTTGTTTGCATGCTGCTGGCTGCCTGCTTGCTTGCCTGTCTCTTAGACGTGAGGTTTGAGAGATTGTGTATTTGTGTTGTAGGTGGAGAATTAAAAGCACCTATATCTGTTTTGAGGTGCACCCGCAGCGAATATCATAATTAAGCCCATGATATCCGGGACACTAGAACCGGAGCGAAGATTTGGGTCTGATATAGGGCATGAGTAGTATCTGTTCTTATCAGTTGAAAGCATGACTTTGCTTCGCTTAGAGGACTGTATGACTGTAATAACATCGGGGCTCAAGCTCTTTCAAAACAGAGCGATCTCCGCTGGATGCAGGAGGGAGGAGGGAGGCAGGCAGGGGGGGAGGAGGCACGCTGAGGGGGAGGAGGGAAGCCACAGATACCCGCCCGCGGCGGCTCTCCCCCTCTGCCCCCTCCTCCGGCCCTGGGGGGGCGGTGCTCGGCGGCCGGCGGGCGAGCGGGCGAGGCGCCTCCTCACGCTCGGGGGCTGGATTTGGGTCGGGCAGGTCTCCCTACCGGGCGGGCGTTGGACGAAAAAACAGATGGTCCCAAAATGCTCCAAACATACGCAACAAGTCGTCCCCGGAGCATGTTGCTTTTGACTATGTCTGAATACTCCTCCTGTGGAGGGGCAGGCCCGACTTACGGCTGGGTGGGCGGCGCATTGACCCAGACGAGCGACGACGAGAAACGGCTCGAGCTGCTCTTCGTCTGCACCAAGGGCGGCGTTCAGACGCAGCGCTCTTTCACCAGGCAGTGCCAGGGCAACGTAGCAAGGAGGGTGACAAGATCCAGCCCAGGATGCGTCAATACTCCTGAGCGTTTTTTGAACTTGGCGCTTCGACGTTGGGCGGAAAGGGAGGGGGAGGGGGGGGTCTGGCTCCGGACCTCTGCTCAGTGCGACTGCTTGCAGGAGTGCTGCCTCTGGGGGAGGCTCCACCCGATCGAGACAGGCGCCAACAAAAACAGCCAAGATCTACTCCATGGGGTGGGGAGGGGAGGGTTGGTAGGAACATGGAAAACCGACACCAACACCACCAGGGACCACCAGCGGGAGGAGCCAGGGAGGGATCCCCTGGTGGTGTGGTCCCTCCTCTCTCTCGGGACATCCCCCAACTTCCCTGCTCAGAGAGGCATCGTGGACCTCCTCGCTGGAGGTGGCGCCCTGGTGGTGTTGGTGTCGCTTCTCTTTCCCCCCAGTTGGAGGGCCCGCGCCGATCGGCAAAACGATGAATCAAAAAACGACCACCTTCTTGGCAATGCGGGGGGCACCCGCTCGAAAGATCCGTCACAGCGTTGAGCCACCAGCAAGCAAAAAGCAGAACACGCAAGCAACATTCCAGACACAGGCAAGCACTCGACTCGCCAGGGTGCAGCTGAAGTTAGATTACTCGAACACCTAACGCGCGTTATCCCACCCACCCAACAGATCACGTAACGCCCGCCGCCCCACCCGCCGCGGGGGCCGGATGGGCGGCGCAAAGACCCAGATCGGAGATCTTCTGACCCGGGTCAATCCAGACCCGGGTCAATCAGGCTCTGCAGGCTCCTGCGGGATCACGCAGGAGCCTGCACAGCCCGGGTCAATGCCAACCTGGCCACGCAGGATCCTGCAAGATCTGGTGCTCTGGCTGATCCTCGTTTGAATTGACCCCCGTCTCTTGAGCCACGACCTGATGAGCGACACCCAGACATGCAACGTCCTGACTTTGTCAGGACGGCTTCATCGGAAGTCCCGACCCTTTCCCCTTGCAGTTTTTCGTCCTGAGTCGTTCTTTGACGGTCCCGAGGCCCGGCGAGGGCCCCCGGAGGCAGAAAATCGCCAAAAACCTCCCGTCCTGTTTTTTTTACGACGCGAGCATGTCTGGGCAACGAGAAGCAGCTCCTGCGCAGGACGGCATGCTTGCGCGGTGGCTCACGCGGGCCGCCAAGCGCGGGACGCCACTACGGTAACGAGCGCGCCTGCGCGCGACCCTGTGCGCGGACGGCCTGCGCGCGAGCGCCCGCGCAGTCGGATCGGTCTTGCTGCGTCGCTCAAGTACACTTCGTTCATTTCTAATCGTGCTCATTTCTAATTGTGCTCGTTTCTAATTGTTCCTGACCCCCCTGGTGGCCAGGAAGAGGCCCAGGATAGAACAATCAATTAGAAACGAACAGATCTTTGCCCCCCCAAAATCAAAGAACCTTCGAATACTTAGACATGAACAACGTGTATCCGATAGTCTGTTTCTGCTCGGTCAGACTGCTTTTCCTCGATCTCGGCCTCCAGGGGTCGCTGTCGGCAAGGGAACAGAAGGCGGCACAACATGAACGTTTGGCGCTTCGCGCGGAGCGCCCACAGTTCGTGTTTATGCAATGATTAACTCGGCGAGTCGGGCCCGCGGCACCATCATGCGGGACGTACGTCTACCTTTAGGTCGGGCATCTTCTCCTCCAGACGGATTTTGGAAGAAAAATCAAAATAGGCAAACCAAACTCAAAAACAGTCAAACATCATTAAAAAATCGTTCCCAGATTATTTTTGTGGACTCCTTTTGAACTTTCCTCCTGTAGAGGGACGTGCCCGACGAAAGTCTACCCGCAGGGGAGGGGTCCCTCCTCCTCCTCCTCCTCCTCCTCCGCCTCCGCCTCCTCCGCCTCCTCCGCCTCCTCCGCATCCTCCGCCTCCTCCTCCTCCTCCTCCTCCTCCTCCGCCTCCTCCTCCTCCTCCTCCCAGGCGGCCTTGCGCGGCCCTGAGGTCCTCAGGGGCCCGCCTGGAAGCTGAGCCGAAGACCTGCCACCCTCAGGCATGAGAGAGCTGAACCCTCAGGGCCCCACAAGCCGAGGCTGAAGCTGAAGTCTCGGCGTGGCCTCAGTGGCCACCTCGTCAAGCTTCAACGCCCGAAAAATTGGTGCAGACAAACATGGGCACGATGCCCAACAACAAATGCTGTCCAACACCAACAGCGGCCGCTGTTGGGCAGGTGGCCCTCTGTCTCAAAGGGACAGCGTCCGCGGCGACACCTACAGCGAGCTCTGTCCAATCAGAAGCAGGACATGCCGTCGGTCTTTGCACCCGTTCCCTCCGTACCCGTCGTTCATTTCTAATCGTGCTCATTTCAAATGGTGCTCGGTTTTAATTGTTCCTGACACCCTAGTGGCCAGGAAGAGGCCCAGGACAGAATAATTAGAAATGAAAGGATCTTGGCCCCCAACAAAAATCAAAGAACCCTCGCATGCTGAGAAACGAACAACGTGTACCCCATGTCGATCGCCCCTAAAAGCTCAAGCTTGAAGGCCCCGTCTTTTCGAGCCGCAGGTCGGTGGCACCGCCAGGCGCCCGCCTGGGCGCTCACGCGGCAGGCCGCGCGCTCCCCGCGGAGCGCCCTGGCCCATCAAGGCCTCCAACGGCCCGCCTCCGGGAGGTGAGCCCCGCCGCCGGGTGCTGCCAGGGGTGCCCCTGGCCCCGTCGGGCGCTGCACAGTGGACTCGGACTCGGACTCGGCTCCGCGCGGGGGGCGCCATGACGGCGCGGCGGATCGGGGCGCCGAGGCGTCCCCAGGGAAGAAATCGGCAAACCAGCCTTGACAAGTAAAGCGTGTGCATGAGAGGCGTCAGAGGAGGAAGAGGAGGAGGAGGGCAAGGAGGAGGAGGAAGAGGAGGAGGAGGAGGAGGAGGAGGAGGAGGAGGAGGGGGAGGAGGAGGAGGAGGAGGAGGGAGGGAGGAGGAGAAGGAGGGGGAGGTGGCGGAGGAGGAGGAGGAGGAGGAGGAGGGAGGAGGAGGAGGAGGAGGAGGAGGGGGAGGGGGGAGGGGGAGGGAGGGAGGGGGAGGGAGGAGGAGGAGAGGAGGAGGGAGGGGGAGGAGGAGGAGGAGGAGGAGGAGGAGGAGGAGGAGGAGGAGGTGGAGGGGTTTACGTGGGGGGGAGAAACGTGCACCTTTCGTGCCTCCTTCTGGGCCCCCCAGATGCACGAGAGGTGAACCCTTGGGTCGGGCCTGTCCCCCTGCAGGGGGATTTTGGAGGAAAAGTAAAAAAGAGTCAAACTATGTTCCAACAAATGCATAAACAAATAGTTAAACAAATCGTCCCCATACTATTTCTTGACTATTTTGAACATTCCTCCTGTAGAGGGATAGACCCGGCTTAAGTGAACCCCTCTTTCCCGTCCACCCCATCCATCGCCCCCCCATTACACTGGAGACCCATGCCAAGAAACACCCCGCTTGCCTCCAGAGTGCCCTGGGTGTCTTGGGTTTCGATGGTTTTGCCGTGGATAGGCATGACATTCCCACGCCAAAAACCAATGGACGTCCTGGGTCCTGGGGTCTCAGGGTTGGGTTTCTCGTGGAAGGTTCCTTGTGGTCGAGTCCCTACTGTATACAACGCCCGCCCCAATGTGTCTCCAGGGTTGCCAAGGATGGGGAAACAAAATGGTACCGATACGGCTACCCCCCGGGGACCTCCCCGGGGATGCGTTCTGACTAGGATTTCGAGGCGAATCCAGCGGTGGCGACGAGGGCCTCCCAGCAGGCCCCAAAAAGGGGAAAACGGGCGAGGGGGTCGAGGTACGGGTACCTGTCCCTCCTCCGAAGGGAGGCCCAGAGTGGGCTCCCAAGCATCCCCCCCCCACGAGGCCCAGAGGCGAAGCCAGGACCGGGGCCAACACCGGACTGGGACACCTCGGGGATCTCTGAGATATCCGGCGGTTCTGGAGGATGTGCGCTCCACGTCGAAATTACCGGGCGCCACGGCCGTGGCAGAGCGCTCCGAAGCGCTCCGAGAGCGTTCTGGAACGCTCTGTGATGTGTATACACACATATATATATATATATACATATATATATATATATATATATATATATTCACACATACACACACATATAGATACACACACACAGATACATATATATATATATATATATACACATGGCCATGTACACATAAATATATATATATATATATATATATATCCGGGCCCCTGTAGAGCCGCCGGCCCCGCCCGACGAGGGCCCGAGGGGCTCCGGAATGGCGCGAGAAGCCGGGGACCCGGACCCGCAACGTGTCCTGATGCTCTTATGGTGCGGGGTCCCCCAAAAGTCCCGACCCTTTCCCCCTGGGACGTTTTCGTCCCGGGGCCCCGCGAGGCCGAAACCGGCCGAATCCTTCCGTCGTGATCTGGCACCTCCCCTAGGCTCCGACGTCACGAGAAGATACCTCAGTCACGACCAGACTCCTAGACCCCATCTTTTTGCACCACTTTTCGAGCTGGATCGATCTGCGAGGGTCTCGGAGCCCGAAGTATTGCGAAAACGCCTGGCTCGAAGGCATTGCCGATGATCCTCAGAACGTGTGTTGGCGCCAACGTGTGTTTGCCCAGTCAGGCCCTTCACTACGACGAGGGCGCTGTGCTGATCGGCTGGTCGGGTCGAACGGGGTAAACACACATTGGGCTAACACGCGTCCTGAGGATCATCGACACTGGGGCGCCGAGATCTCTGTTGGGGGCCAGGACCACCCTCCAGCAGCAGCACCTGAGGCCCCCGCGCGGCCTGGAGCGCCTCGTCTCGGCATGGCGCCTCTCTCCTGCCTCCGCTGCGTGGCCGCACGTGAACCCTTCCCCCCCCACCCCCCACGAGGAGTGGTCCACGGGGCAGGGGGTGTGCTTCTTGGAGTGGTCCAGAGGAGGAGGAGGAGGAGGAGGAGGAGGAGGAGGAGGAGGAGGAGGAGGAGGAGGATATTTGTACTCCCCCTGTGGACGGAGGAGGAGACGGAGAAGGAGGAGGAGGAGGAGGAGGAGGAGGATTTTTGTGCTCCCCCTGTGGACGGAGGAGGAAGAGGAGGAGGAAGAAGAGGAGGAGGAGGGCCGAGGGTGGGGAATGGGTGCAGGGTTAGGTCGGGCATGTCCCCCTACAGGCGGATCGTGGACGAAGAATAGCAACAGCCAAAACAAATTCAAACATGGTCAAAGATAGCAGCAAAATCGTGTCCCGAAGCATTTTTTCTCCTGCTTGGGAATCTTCCTCCTGTGGAGGGACCTGCCCGACTTCAGGGCAGGGGTCCAGCCGCCGATCGGTGCGGCCTCTCAGCTCCCGCCCCGGTGACAGCGGCGCCGCGGCCCGGCGCGCCCGCGCTTCTCTCTCTCTCTCCGGAGGGCGGGCCCGCGCCGCCGACGTCCACGGCGTGAGGCTTCACAGCAGCAGCCGCTGGTGGGGCGGCCCTGGGGCTCGGCGAACTCCACAGAAGGCGAGGGGGGGGGCCCTTGCAGTCCGGGGGGGGGAGGCCGGCCCTTGTAGCCCAGGGGCCCAGAACTATTGAGGTACTCAGAGTTCGGGCACCATGTCGGGGGTTGCTCAAAGTGGATGCCATGGCAATGGACCCCCTGACAATCCTGGCATTGCATCTAAAACATGTGTTCAAACATGTCAGGCACATGCTCTAGAAATGTCTAACGCATGTGATTTACATGTTGACGACATACTCAAAACATGCTTTACACATTTGAAAATTACTTACGCAGGACGAAAGATGTTCCTCTTGACGTCGAAGATGACCATCCCCGTCCCCTGTAGAATCTTAACACGGTGGGGGGTCTGCGGTCGACGGATCCCATTATTGTCGGCTCCCGGAGCGAGTTTAATATTATAAATTCAAAACGGGGTAAAAATTGGATCCGCCGTAAAAAATAAGGTCCGCCGCGGATCCCGAAAATCAGAAATTGGATCCGCGCGCACGGAAATTGGATCCGCCGCGATTTCACGATTACGGTAAGGTTGGAAATCGGATCCGTGCGACCCTCATTGGGTTCGCCGCTATGATTTCCCAGAGGGCCCGTGCACCGCGTGGGACTGTGAAGTTCAGCGCAAAGAGGAACAAACTTTCGGCCCGGGGATGTATTTGGCAACATGCTTCCTCTCCATTGACCGTCGCCCACAACTAAAAATGCCACTGGCCCGAGATACCCCCAGCTTTGCGCTTGCTTGTGGAGCCCCTGCTTGGGGCCTCCTGGGCCTGATGAGGGGTGCACGGCTGGGGTTAGGAACTCTCCCAGATGTTGTGGCTCCCGCTTCTGCTCCCGCTGCGTCCCCTGGCCCCCCCAGGGGAAGACACACTGGGACTTCCAGACTGCGCTGATCTTCCCAGATTTCCGGCGTCTCATTTTTCCAAGACGCGGGCCCACGACCTCCCGACCACTCCCCAAGACCGATTTTCCTCCCGAGTCGTGTTGTTGACGGTCCCGAGGCCCGATGAGGGCCCTGAGAGGCCGTGGGGGCCTCCATGGGAATCCTGGAGGCACCTTGGGGTCAGGGGCACTGCTGTGGCAACGTCCGAGACTTGGACCGAGACCAAAACGGGGACCTCTGCGGCCCTGTGCGACCTGGCGGCTCCCGCTGGAGGATGCACTGGGCGCCGCAGCCGCTCCAGAGCTCCGAGAGAGCTCCCTGCCCTGGCCTCATCTCTGCCCTGGCCCTAGTCTGGCCCTAGCCCAACTCTCGAGCGACTCACCCCTGCCCTCGCCTCACCCGACAACGGCCGCGGCGGCGGCCGCTGTGGCGGCTGCGCTCCAGAGAATCACGGCACACCCTGCGCGGACGACGGCTGGCATCTGCAAGCCGCCACGCCCAGCGCCCACTCCGCTGCCCGAGCGCACACTGGCAGCCCCTGCGCCGGCCTTTGTGGCCCACGGCCAGGTCGGCGCACGGGTCGAGCGGCGGGCTGAGGGATGCGGCCGCCTCTTCCGTGGGCTGCTGGCCCTGCTTGGGGTGCGCTGCCCAGCTCTGCACCATCGACCTGGCAGGAGGATGGCGGCGGAGAGTCGGGGACGGGGAATCCCACCGGCCCTTTGGGAGCAGGTGGTTTGCAGAGTCAATGAGTTCTTCCAACCTCGTTCTGCCTCTTCTGGGAGAGGCCTACCTCTCCCCATGTCCCCTCTCCCTGGGTCTGGAGTTAGGTCGGGCCTGTCCCCCTACAGGCGGATGTTGGACAACAAATGAAAAACTACTCGACGTGGAGATCCCCATATGTGCATCTCATAGTGATGGCAAACTTCGGTAAAAGACATTGTCGTTGTCAATATCCGAGTGTCAACGAATCCACGTGGAAAACGAGGCCGAGAGAGAGGCCGACGACTGCGACGGCTATGATTAGTTGCTTCCTCCTTCCGTCCTCCTTCTCCTTGTCCTCCTCCTTTCCCTGCGAGCACCTGTCAGGACAATCCATCCGTGAAGACGAGAACGGGCCGGTGCAGTGCGAGTGCTGAAAGCAAGCGCCTCGCCCGAGACATCCTCGGCAACTGCTCCGAAAGAGAAGGACGTTTGGCACCCAAGCAGGCAAACCGCCCAAGACATCCCCCCAATCTGGGCGCAAGCGGGCCCGTGATATACCCCCTGGCGCCCCCCCCCTTGGGAGTGCTGAAACCAGCGCCTCGCCTGAGACACCCTCGGAAACTGCTCCGAAAGAGAAGGATGTTTGGCACCCAAGCAAGCAAACCGCTCGAGACATCCCCCCAATCTGGGCGCGAACGGGCCCGTGATATGCCCCCTGGCGCCCTCAGTTGGGAGTGCTGAAACCAGCGCCTCGCCTGAGACACCCTCGGAAACTGCTCCGAAAGAGAAGGACGTTGGGCACCCAAGCAGGCAAACCGCCCGAGACATTCCCCTAATTTGGGCGCGAACGGGACCGTGATATGCCCCCTAGCGCCCCCCCCTTGGGAGGGCTGAAACCATCGCCTCGCCTGAGACACCCGCGGAAACTGCTCCGAAAGAGAAGGATGTTGGGCACCCAAACAGGCAAACCGCCTGAGACATCCCCCCAATCTGGGCGCGAACGGGCCTGTGATATACCCCCTGGCGCCACCCCCTGGGAATACTGAAACCGGCGCCTCGCCTGAGACATCCTCACAACCTGTGTGTGAATCTGAGCGCGGATGTGCCAGGCGTGTGAGTGAGTCTGCGCATGAGTGATCCCGAGCTTGAGAAACCTGAGTATCAAGAATATAAGAGCGAGTGCATCTGAGTATGAGTGAGTCTGAATATTAGTGAGTCTACATGTGAGTGAATCAGAGAATGATGACCTGAGGGTGGGAGGTGTGTGTGTGTGTGTTCTCGTTCTCCGCGCGATCAAATTACTAACAAGAACCCCATCCTTAGGATATGGGGAAATAGTCAGTAATGTCCCAAAATGGCCAAACATCATCAAGACATCCTCCCCAGACTATTTCTTGATGATAGTTGCAGATTCTTCCTGTAGAGCGACAGGCCCGACTTAAGTCTGGAGGGGGGGAGGGGCGCCGCGGGTCGTTGGACCGTCTTCTCCGTTCCACTGCCTGCTCCTGCACTTCCATCGTTTCTGGAAGGGCTGGTGGGGATACGCGAAGCGCCAAGACCAGGAGATGAGGGAGGCAGTTGACTTAGGTCGGGCGTGTCCTCCTACAGCCGAATTTTGGACGAAAGTTATGAAAATAGTCCAGCAATGATCAAACACATCCCAAACTACTGAAACATCATCCCCAGACAATGTTTTACTATTTTTGCATACTCTTCTTTTTTAAGGGACGTGCCCGACCTAAAAGTTGACCTGGTCGGCTCAGGTCTCCATCGGCGCGGCCTCGAGGGACCGCTTCTGCCCGTGAGGGAGGCCCTGGGGGTCCTGGCCGCCCGCGCCAGGGGCGCCCTGGCCAAATTGCAGCTGCACCTTGTGCAGCATCTCGTACTCGCGGATCTGGTTCCGGAAGCCCTCGTTGATGGATATGCAGTGCCGCCTTGTCAGCACGTAGTGGTGCGCCAAGTCGGAGGTGAGCTCGAAGCGCTGCATGACGTAGGCGACAACGAGGGCCGCCGACCGCGACATGCCAGCGTTGCCGTGCACCAAGATGCGCCCGCCCCTCCCGAGGACCACGTCGATCAGCTGCTTCACGTTCGGGAAGAAGCGGATGATATTCTCGAAGGGGCTGTCGCAGCACTCGAGGACCTCGTAGCGAATGACCTCGGGATACTTGGGCGCGATGACCGGGTGCGCCGAAGAAGGGGGCCAGAAAGAGCGGGGGTAGCGCATCATGGCCCGGGGCACTGCGTGGACGAGGGGGGGGGGGGGGCAGGCCAGGAGACGCACTGAAAGAAGATTGGGCGGCCGTGACAGGGGGGAGGGCTCGTGGCGCCCAGCCATGAGATCCGCCCACCTCGGCTACACGCAGGAGTGGCCCTAAGCACGGGTGACCTTTGGTGCGCGGCTTTGGGGGAGCGCGGAGAGGCCAAACCTGCGCGCGGAAAAGCGCTGCTATCGCAGTCTTATTCGTAGTCTTCTTAGCACCCTTCTTTATAATGAGAAGAAGACTACTAAGCGGAGGAGCGCTGCTGTCGCATCGCAGTCAGCCATCTGGGGACCCCGGTGTGCCCGCGCAAAAAAAAGAAGAAGTCACTCTTGAGAAAGGACACTCTTTACGTGTAGCCGACTGCCCCACCCCAGTCCCCCCGCCCCCCCCCCTCGGCCGCCCCCAAGATGATCCTGGCCTCCTCCGGCGCCCGCACGACCAGCGCGTCCGTGATGCTGGCGCGCTGGAGGAATTCCTTGTCTCGCGCAGCGCCGAACGGCCCGAGCCAGAGGCCTGGCACGATCTCCTGGGCGTCCCGCTTCTTGGTGTACGTCCAGTCCGTGTCGGGCTGCAGGAGCCCCGGGATGCCAGGAGGGAAGAGCAACGGCGCAGGCACAGACATCCGACGGGCAAGGCAACATCGCGACGGCCAGCGGTTCGGTGCTCTCGGCGTGGACGCTGCTTTCTGGCCCCGGGGCCGTGGAGACGTGCTCTTCGCATTCTTGTTGTTGGGGGGTGCATCCCTCAGCTCGCTCAGGAATCCTCACGGACTGCTCTGCCTGGGCATGCTCTCTGTCAGCTGTTGCACCCCTCGGAGTAATACGTGTGATGGTTGCACTCTCGGGTCCTTTCCGGGTTTGGCTGGGAGGCATCCAGGGCCGTCCGTCGGCCCCCTCGGGCCGTCGGGGCGGGTTTGGGGTGCTCCGGGGCCGTCCTGGGAGCCAGAGGAAGCCAGGGTACCGAACCCTCTGCCCTCCCCCCCTCCGAAACTATACTCAGGAGGAGGAGGAGGAGGAGGAGGAGGAGGAGGGGGAGGAGGAGGGGGAAGAGGAGGAGGAGGAGGAGGGAGGAGTGAGAGGAGGAGGAGGAGGAGGAGGAGGAGCAGGAGGAGGAGGAGGAGGAGGAGGAGGCTGGCCCCAGGGAACGAGGGGCAACGCAGGGAGGGGCGGGGACCGACTCCGGGGGGGAGCCTCGACCCGGAAGCAGCTACACCTCGCCCAGCAGATCAGCGATAGGCCCCCGGCAGCAAATGCAAACATCCCTGGGCAGGGTGGGGCTATCGGGCCCCTATCGGCGATGAGCTGGCGATTCGGGGTCGATGGTTCCCCCACTGAGCCCTTCCCCCCTGAGCAGAATAAGAGAACACGGCAAGAACATCAACTTTCGACGGTCCGTGCAGATTTCTTGGATCTGCGCAGGGTCCTGTTGCCTGGCGCGCGGCGCGCGCCAGGGGCGGCGCCTGAGGTGCCGCCAGGGGCGCCCCGCGCAGATCCAAAAGGTCCGCGCGGAGCGCCGACAGTTTATGCTTATGCTCTGATTTCTTCTTCGACGGACGTTGCTCCTGAATGGGGCACAGAGAAACATACTGGTACTATACGCCCTCCTTGGAGGCGCGCGTCCGACCCGAACACATAATATGCACATCTTGTAGTCTATCGTGTCCTGACCCGTGTGGCCAGAAAACGCCCGCCACGACATATATATATATATATATATATACTATAAGATTTCTCCGCACGCGCGTCGCCCCTGCGGGGCGACGCACACCTAGTACTAGTCTGCTGGGGTGACGCCAACTGAAGGGAGGGGTCGAGATCCCTGGGGGCCGACGTCACGAACAGACCAGGCTGCGTCGTAGGAGAGGGGGCCCGGCGCGGAGGCTCTCAAGAGCCGGCGCGGGACCTCCCCTCCCGGGCGCGCCGAAGAGCGGGGCGAAGGACAACGAGGCGGGGTGGTGGCGCATGCTGGCCAGTAAGAAGTGCGAGGTTTTATCGGGGAGACGTAAGACCTGGGTACGGGGGACTCGGAAATCCCCGACGAGGTCGTCAAAAAAATGACGAGGCCGAGCCTGCATTTTGACGAGGCCTCCCGCTGCAGACATCCCACAAAACGCCTCCTCGTCAAAATCCGAGTCGCGGTCGTCAAAAAACGATGGCGAACCCGAGTCCTGGCAAACCCGGGTCTTACGCTCCCCCGATTTTAGTTGACATCCGCCGATCCGGCGTGTGGGTTCAAAAGGGCCTATAATCGAAGAGGACAAAACGCCATAGCCATAGACTTTTGGCGCACCGCACGGACTTCTTGGATCTGCGCTGAGACCCCCATCCGTGGCGCGCGGAGCGCGCCAGGGGCGGCGCCAGAGGCGCCGCCAGGGGGCCCCAGCGCGGATCCAAGAAACCCGCGCGTTCATACCTTTTCTCTTCTTCGGTATAAGCAGCTTGAGCTTCAGCTCTGTTTAGGGAGCCCACAAACGACGTTCGCGCCCAACTATGTGCATGAACACGGCCCCTCGATCCGCGAGCCCGGCCGCGTGATACGAACATTCGCGCACTGCGTACTCTCGAAACCAGCGTGAATCCATGTACGTTTGCGTCCTTTCGGGGAGACGTAAAACCCGGGTACGGGGGACTCGGAAATCCCCGACGAGGTCGTCAAAAAAATGACGAGGCCGAGCCTGCATTTTGACGAGGCCTCCCGCTGCAGACATCCCACGAAACTCCTCCTCGTCAAAATCCGAGGCTCGGTCGTCAAAAAACGATGGCGAACCCGAGTCCTGGCAAACCCGGGTCTTACGCTCCCCCGATCCTTCTTTCGCCCTTGACTGTTGGGGGGGGGGGGTGCTGGGGTGGCTCCTCTGCCGGGGCCTTCTCAGCTCTGCTGGTGGGGGGGGTGTAAGGGGTGCCAGTGGCTCGGCCGGGGAAGAGGGAAGGGGGGGAGTCTCCGCCGGCTTCTGGGCCCCCCTCCCTGGAGGAGGAGGAGGAGGAGGAGGAGGAGGAGGGGGAGGAGGAGGAGGAGGAGGAGGAGGAGGAGGAGGAGGAGGAGGAGGAGGAGGAGGAGGAGGAGGAGGAGGAGGAGGAGGGAGGAGGAGGGAGGAGGCTGTGGTGATTGCTGCCTGCCGATCTGATCTCGAATGTGTGTGTGTGGGGGGGGGGGGGGGGGCGTCCCCCAGGGCCAAGGCTGCGCTGACGGCGACGTTGGCTCACGGCGATGTTGGGAGTTCGGCTTTTGTGACGCCGAGCTCGCGCAGAACAGTTTGCAGGAAATCGCGAACCACACTTTCTTGCATCTCAAATGTGCGAATGCATCGAGCGAAAGCGACGCAGCGAAGTGTGTAGAATCGGGGAGACGTAAGACTCGGGTACGGGGGACTAGGGTTGGCCTGACGGGGGGCTCGTGAAAATGACGAAATCCATTCTGAAATTTGACGCGGGCTCCCGCTGCAGACATCCCACGAAAACCAGACCGTCAAAATCCTGGACGCGCTCGTCAAAAAACTGCGGCTGACCGCTAACCCGAGTTCCGGCTTGCTCGAGTCTTACGGCTCCCCGATGGAAAACCGCGAACCACGATGTCCTGCAGTTGGCTTGGCCACGAGGCACTCCCACCTACCATGCCGAAACCTACATCGCCGTTAGCGCGCCTACGGCAAGGAGCCCTCCCTGAACCGAACCCTCTCGGGCGTCCCCGGCTCGCCCCGCCCCCCTCCCCCCTGGCGTCCGCGGCGGCCCGTCCACAGGGGCAGGGCCCTCCAGGGATCCCCATGATTTTTCCAAGGGTTCCCCAGGATCCCCCCGGATTCTCCACATTCCCACAGGGGATACTCCAGGATTCCTCTGGACTCACGATCCCCCAGGATTCCCCAAGAGTCTCCAGGACTCCGAATCTACTCCCGCACTCCCCCGTTTCCGCGAGCATCAGGAGCGCCTCGGATCGGCGGCACTGGCCAAAGGCCACTACAATAGAATTTCTGGTGACAATCGTTACCCAGGGGAGGGGGGGGGGCCTGGGTAACGGTAACGCTTCGGCATGCTGAGGCACGTCGGGGCAGGGGTACGCTGCGATCGCCATAATATGCGCGCGAACACCAGCATGTGTGTGGGGGGGTCAGGCTGGGGGAATCGGGGTTGCCGGGTGACGGGGGGCTACGCGCCAGAGGATAAACACAATCTCTGTCGCACCATGGCCGGTGGCAAGCGCGCAGACGAGGGGTGGGGGGCAATGGAAGCATCGAAAGACGGAGGGGTGCCCCTGACACCTGGGAGATGTCGTGGCCCCAGCCACGCCATCCTCACCCTCCTCGCTCGCCATCGCTCGGACGTCCATGCCCCGTGCATGTGTCGGCCTCGTGCGCTTATTTTCCGCAGGATGATCCTAGATTGAGGGATGAAAAAACGACCTTACCCTGGGTTGCAAGTGCGTGGTCTGTAAACCTCCTGGGAACCCCCAAAGCCTAGAGCCGCCAGGACGCGGCACATCACGCAGGGTTGACCCTGTCAGCCCACAGGAGTTTCAGCGCACAGCGCCTCGTAAACCAGTGTGGGGGCGTTTTCTATGCCCTTGATAACAGGGGATATGTCGACCCCTATCCCAGGCTTCGTGGGGTTTCCGAATGGACCAGAAATTTGGGGCCTAACCCTGGGATATACGATGGGGGGGTGTCCATTCTCGATAGGGGTGCGTCCGAATAGCCCCCTCGGGATGTATCCCAAGATTCCTCCCCTTTTCTGAGCGACCAAACTTTTCTGGCGGAAGTCGGGGATTGGGGGAGAGAAATCGCCTGCGACTTGACTAGCTGCCCCTCGATGGCCCCCACCGAGAACAAGGTCCAAGACCTGCCCCGCGCCCTGGAGCGGCGGCGAGCCAAGGGCGGCCAGGGAGCCAGAGAGGGCCTCCTCGGAGGGCTCGGGGAGCCCCCTCGGCCGGCGGAGATGCTTGCCAGGCCTCCCCCGAAGACAGCACAGCACTTCTCGGAAGGCGCGGGGGAAGTCCCGCCGCCTTCTGCGAAGGCCTCCCTCTCAGTTCCCCCCCCCCCCCCTCGCTCGCCGCCGATCGGGGGCGGGCCGAATGAGACCACTGCGGCTCTGCCGCCTTGCGAGCCTCGGGCTCGGCCAAGAGGGGGGCGCCCAAGAGGGGGGGGGGCGCAAATCATGGCCAGCCGCCCCTGCGTGGCCCAGGGAGGGGCCAGGGACGCATTGACATAAGAAGAGGCGCCATGGAATCTGGGGGGATCTCGTGGCCCCCGCCATGATGTCCACCCCGCCAGTCATCACCCCCCCCTAGGGCCGCCACCGAGAACCCAAATCCGCTGAAAATCGGTCCTCCGATTCCCCCCTGGCTTCCGAGGCCGATCCACCAGGAGGCCCTGGGATCGAGAGGGAAGAAGCACGGGGACCAGGGTTAGGTCGGGCATGTCCTCCTACAGGTGGATCTTGGGCGGAGGACCCAACCATATGCAGTTGTGAATACCGTCGTTGCGGGTATCGCCTTCGGGGGATCTTCTCATGGGGCCATGAAGCATGCGACGCGTGTGTGGGGCGGGGCCGCCATGTGGGCGGTGCCACTACTGCTTCAGGCGGAACGCATTACGGGGCCGCGGCAACTGTGAGGAGTGCGCCGCAGTGGTGCGGGGCCGACACTGGGACCTTCGGTGCAGCTCCCTATGGGGTAACGAATCAATGTAATGGGCGGGCGACCTTAGTTGGAAGTCCTTGTGGGGCCACGAAACGTGTGAGGGGCGTGCCGACATGCGGCGGCGCCGCCATGCGAGCTGCGCCACTTGGACTTGAGTTGGAGCTCCGTGAGGGGGCCACGAAACGTGTGAGGGGTGTGCCCCAATTGGGCGGCGCCGCCATGCGAGCTGCGACGCGAGGACTTTAATTTGAGTTCCCGATGGGGCCACGAAACGTGCGAGGGGTGTGCCGAAATGGGGCGGCGCCGCCATGCGAGCTGCGCCACTGGGACTGGGAGCTGTCTATGAGGCCGCGAAGCGTCTAAGGGGCGTGCCAAAACGGGGCGGCGCCGTCATGCGAGCTGCGACGCTGGCACCTTAATTTGAGTTCCCTGTGGAGCCACGAGACGTGTAAGGGGTGTGCCGACATGGGGCAGCGCCGCTATGCGAGCTGCGCCACTGGGACCTTCGTTGGAGCCCCCCTGGCACAAAGCGTGTGAGGGGTGTGCCGAAATGGCGCGGCGCCGCAATGCAAACTGCGGCATCGGGACTTGAGTTGGAGCTCCCTATGGGGCCACGAAATGTGTGTGTGTGAGAGAGAGAGAGAGAGAGAGAGAGAGATGGGTCTGCCAGAATGGGGCGGCGCCGCCATGCGAGCTGCGCCACTGGGGCCTTAGGGGGGGGTCATGATGGGGTCACGAATCGCGTGAGGGGCGCGCCGAAATCGAAACATGCGGAGAACAGAAGCAAGAAGGGGGAGGAGGGATGAGGGGAAGGAGAGGGGGAAGGGAGGAGGAGGAGGAAAGGGACGCGCGGCACTGTCTCTGCAAAACGAGGACCCAACACCACAAGACAGGCGGCCCCAGCATCGAATCGATAAGCTGGATCGGGTCGACCGGAGCATCGAATCGGCAGAAATCGGCAAAAACCAACAACCAAATCGAAATCGGCTGAAGTCGGCAGGTCCGAGCCGGATCGAGTCGGAAACCGGACCGCGTCAAGCCGGATCGGAATCGAAATCGCCCCCCCCGCCCCCCCCGGGGGGGGTTTTAGAACCCCCACCTGGGGGGGGGGGGGGGGTCTCGGGGCTTTCGGACCCCCCCCCCCTGGGAGGGGTTGGGTGTCCTGGGGCTTTCGGAAAACCTCCCCCTGGGGGGGGGGGGGGGGGGCCCCGTGGCTTTTGGAAAACCCTCCTCTGGGTGGGGGGGGGGGGGGGGGGCGGGCCTTTCGGGGCCCCTCCCCCTGGGGGGTGGTTTGGGGTCCCGGGGTTTTCGGAAAACCCCCCTCTGAGGGGTGTTTGGGGTCCCGGAGCTTTCGGAAAACCTTCCCCAGGGGGGGGGCGGGGCCTCGGGGCTTTCGGACCCCCCCCCCTGGAAGGGGTTTGGGGTCCCGGGGCTTCCGGAAAACCTCCCCCAGGAGGGGGTTGGGGCCCCGGGGCTTTCCGCCCCCCCCCCCCCACGGGAGGGGTTTTGGGTCCCGGGGCTTTCAGAAAACCCCCTCCTCCTTGAGATTCCAAAGTTGTACTATAATGCCTGGCTGTACTATTATGCGGGGTAGAACTTTTGTTTGGGTTGATCTTTTCTTGCGCGGGGAAAAAATAATTCGATGCAGGATTTTTGCTTTAAATAGGTTTGAGCCCCAACTGGGAGGGGCCTCAAGACCCCAACTGGGAGGGGCTTCGTACATGATGACAATGATGATGCCCAAGGTGCCTCTTTCAAAGCATGCGCAGAATCGGTCGGCCACAGAACTTCGCGATGCATGCCAGCGAAAATGCCCCCATGGATCTCTTCTGACCCCGCCTTCGGCCAAATGCAGCTACAGATCCACCGAAATCCTCGCCCCTGCAATTCCAATGTTTCGCTGGCTCGCCGCCTTCCATGCAGAGCTCCTGGAACATGTGCATGTTCGGCTTAACTTTGAAATGCGTTGGGAGCGCGTCTTCCAAAGCTGCCGCCTGCGCGCCAAACTTCATTGAATGCTCACGAAGAATATCCACAGCAAATGGATGGTTATCAGACAGCGCGTCGTAACACCGACTCAAGCTTTTCATCCCAGCGTGAATTGACGATTCCACGGCTGCCCGCTGGCCGGCGCCATCCCGACAAGGAATGCATCCGCAATTTCCATCGCCCATGGAACCATGTGCCTGAGCATCCCCGCGCCGCACCTCATCTTAGCCGTCTTCGCCTTCCCCCCCTTCACGACGCCCCGCGTCAGCGTCGGCAAGCGGCTGGTCTTCTCACCTGGCGGCTGCCTGTCGTAGAACGCCATCAGATGACGATGCAGCGTCAGCGCGCGGGCTTTCTGAGCAGCTCCTGCAACGCTTCTGTGCGCTACGAGGTACCAGACCAAGCCGCCGATGAAGTCAGCCGCCGCCCCAAGGTCAACGACGCGCAGCCAGTCTAACTTCAGCAGCTTCTCGTTTGCAAACGGCACTTGGAAGAGAGGGCGCACAGTCTCGCCTGAAGCAACGATCTTCCAAATGATGTCCGACCACGTGCGGCGGTTTGTTCCCCGCGGCGCGTCTCCCCCAGTCTGCGACTTCACCTGAATGGGGGATTCCCAAAGCGGTGGCGCCCACCTCCTGCTCCTCCCTATGCTCCTCCTCCTCCTCCTTCTCCTCCTCTTCCTCCTTCTCCTCCTGCACCTCCTCCTCCCCTCCTCCTCCCCCCCCCTCCTTCCCCCTCTCCTTCCCGCCCGCAAGACGACGATCTCCTGTAGCAGGGGGCGCAAGACGGTTTCCTCCATAAGTTCCCTCCCATCGAAAGGGATTTTCATCCCTAAACCCTCCACCAAGAGGGGATTTTGACGTATATGTTCCCGTGATGGTGTGGGTACCCACGGGCCTCGCCCTTCCTGATGTTGCACAGGAAGCAGATCTCGTCGTCCTGCCAGCCAGGTAGCTTGAGCACCTCCTTCATCATCCTCCAGTCCCCCTTGATCTGGCAAAGCACCCCGCCAATCGGTAAAGAACCCTGCTGGCGCTTCCTCCAGGTGCCTGTGTTCACGACAAAAGGGGGCCCGTCGTGCCGCGCCGTCGGCCAGCGCTTCACAGCCACATGAATTAAACTCCATTGCGCCACGGCGAAGATATCATCAAATGTGTTGGGGCCAACATGCTCTTTGAGGAACGCAGTTAACGGTGCGCGCCTGTTTTTTCCAGCGGCCTGCAGCACCTGGCAGCCTGATGCTGACGACTTCTGCGCTCATTGATCGGTCCCAGGAAGCAGGGGGCTCCGTCCTGCCACGCGCCCAAGGCCACGAGATCGTCGCAACCGCTCTCAGCCCTCGCTTTTTGCGCGTGGCGCAAAGACACGCCGTCGAGGCTCGACGTCTCCAGAAGCGCGCTCTCGTCGCCGAAATGATGTAGCTTAACCAGGATTTCGTGCGGAAGCATCACAGCAATATCCATCAGCTGCTCTGTTTCAGACTTGGGGTCACAGCCCCTCACCTTGCAGTGATACAGCGGAGGCCACCCCTTCTTGAAGAACTGGCGCCTGGATCTCCTGGCAGCGTTTTTCATGCCCCACGTGGTCTCAGAGGTCTGCAGGTCGGCAACGCCTGCCGCAGACGCAGAGACGGCGTCATTGATCAACTGAGCACCGCGCTGCCCGCTGATCGCGCTGCTGCTGATCAGGTCCTCCACGTTCGCTCTCAGCCGCCTCTGCGGCGGCAACTGCAGCCTGTCATAAGGCAACTTACGCTTCGAAAGCATGCCGACGGCCCTCGAGCCCCCTCGCGGGAGGCGAATGCGACTACGGATGTGCCTTGAGCCAGCGCTACGGAAACGAACGGATGAGGCTAAGCGATATTTCTCTGTGCCGCGCCCCTCCTGGAGGGGATCCTGCAATCTCCTCTGCCACGTGCCCTCCCGCTTCCCCCCCCCCCTCCCCCTCCCCGCCCCCTACCGCCGCCGCCGCCTGTCCAGAACCTGCCCGCCTCGTTCTAAGCGCGGCGATTGCTGTCCAACGCCCTTCTCCACGACACCCCCCTCCCCCACCCCCTGCGGCGAGGGTTTTATATATATATATATATATATATAAAGATTTTAACCGGGGCAGGCACAGAAACGCGCGGCCCCTCACGAAAGGGGTCCTCTGCGAGAAAGGATACTGGCGCGATGTGCTTTTTATATGGGTCGACGCACATGCTGCAATGAACGCGACAGCTGTCGGGCGAGGCAGTACTTCCCACCCTACACGTGTAAGTGAAAATGGATATGTATTGATGCCAGCAGCTCAACTGAGGAACCTCTTGAAGCGCTTGAGCGACAGCTGGATCCCCTCGTACATGTGCCCCATCGTGCTGTGGGCGGCAAAGGCCTCGTCCTTCAGCTTCACGTACATCTCCGGATCCTTGCCGACAGAAGCAGTGGTGTTGTCCATTTTTGCCAAGAGGATCTCCATTTTCGCCTCGTGCTCATCCGCGTTGCCCACGCACTTCTTGCATTCATTCGCCCAGTTCTCGTACTGCGTGCGGTCACTCTGATCCTGATCTGCAGCCTTCGCGAGCAACTGAGCCTTCGCATGCTTCATCTCCTTGAGCTGCCTGTGATACCTGAAGATCGTTGACCTCAGCAGGGAACACAGCGACAAAATCAGCATTGATGAAAAATACTAGCGGACGATGCCCTCCAGGAGGGGCAGCACGCGAGACGAATGAAGGCACCCCTCATAATAATCATAGGGGCCTGGCGGAACAGAAAAGGGGGAAGAGCCGATGGGAGCGGCTACCGAGGGCCGCACGCGATCTCTTCCTTCTTGCTGGTGATCTGCGGCCAGTGCGGATTCTCGAGCTTCACCTCCCCCTCCGCTGGCCCACAGGAGCTGGGCGACCGGAGCTGGGACATCCTGGCGCCCGCGGATTCGAGCTGCTTCATGTTCTTCAAGTTGGATGATCCCTTGAAGCTGCGGGAACCTGTCGTCACCAGCTTGTCATCGTCCATGCTGCGCTCCACGAAGTACCACTGCTTCCATAGAGGTCTGTTCTTTGGATCTTCCTTTACAGGGTAGTCTCATTTGGTTCCATGCTCCTCGCTCTTCTCCCCCCACCAGTCCTGCGCGAATTGCATGGCCTCCTCGATGGTGCTAAAATCTGTGATGCGGAGGCCCTTGAGAGCCAGCGCCTGCGACACGTTCTGGTACCCCCTCTTGGCAGACTTGGTGTGCACCTCCTCGTTCGTCAACCAGTCCAGCGTCTTCTCTTTGTCGCTTGCGAAAGACTGCAAGAAACGCTTCCGATCGGTTGGATCTTTCATGTCGTTCCACATGGCCTGCGCCGCCTTGGCTGATTCTGCACTGGGCGTGGACTTGCCGTTGGCGTCCTTCTTCTCGGACTGGTAGCGGAGCCACGACCTCATCTTGTCGGCCTCCTACTTGTCGAGCCCTTCGCCCTTCGGAGCAGCCTTCGATTTCTTTGCCGCTGCTTTGCCTGCAGGGGGGCCATCGGGCGTCCTCTTCGCGGCCATGATGCACAACGACGAGAGAAGGCTGCCCGCCAGGAGCAGAGGAGCGATGCTGGCGGGGCCGCCCATTGCTGCTGCGAGCGGAAGCGCACTCAGCGATTGAAAGAAAAATCTGCGCGAACCCGATGGCCTTGCAGCCGCAACAGCTGCGAATGGATTGCAAGTTGGTCGTCGCCGTCGTCGGCGTCGTCGAGGCATCCCCTCAAAGAGGGGTTCGCTCCTCTCCCCTCCAAGGGGTTCGACGCCCTCGAGGGGCCCCCTTCCCCTCCCAGAAGGGGCCCTTCCCCTCGCAAAGGGGCAGCGCGCCCCCGCAGAAAAGGACCCCCCCTCCCCTTCCTTCTCGCATGGGCGGGCCTTCCCCTTCAGCAATGGGGTTCGTCATGGCTACGTCGAACCCCGCCCCGTTTCAGAAACGAACGCTTACCCCTCAACAAGGGGTCGACCCCAGATCCGGATCCCACTGCCAGCGAATCCTACAGGAGAGATTCTCTTAAGAGAATTCTCTTCAGAGAATTCTCTTAAGAGAATCGTTGGTTTCGCCTGATACATCCTCACAATTCTCTTAAGAGAGTTCTCTTAAGAGAATTCTCTTAAGAGAATCTCTCCTTAAGAGAATCGGTCTGGCCCTCAACCTGCCCCTCTGAGAGGGGTTGCTGAGGGTCCCCTGCGGTGAAGGGGGTTCACTTATGACGATGTCGTCTGTTGTTCTGGCGCGAGATATCGCGCTCCTGTATATGGACGTCGGCGGCTCAGCGCGCGCCGACCTCAGGGCCCGGTGTCCTCGGGCGGATGCGAAAACAAATGGGGGAGACACATTGCGGAGAAGCATCAACAGAAATCATGGCGATGGGGGCGCCGGCGACGAGCAGGAGCAGGAGGAGGGGACGACAATGAGGAGGAGGAGAAACTGTCCTAGCTCCTATTCTGCCGCTTCGACCCGGAGCCCTTGCTCTTGTCTGCGTCCTTGTCCTTGTTCCCCTTCCGCGCCTTTTTCGCGGGTTTCTCCTGTCCTTCTGCGGCCTTCGCGGCCTTCGCTTCTGCTTCGGCCTTCGCTGCTGCTTCGGCCTCTTGCGCCTTCGCTGCTTCTTCGGCCTCTTTTGCCTTCGCCGCCTCCTCAGCTGCTCGCTGCGCTCGCTCCGCCCCCTCAGTTGCTCGCTGTGCTCGCTCCTCCGCGGCCTGCGCAGCCGCCGCGGCTCTCGCGCCCCTCTCTGCCTTTAGGGCCGCTTCGGCCTCCGCTGCTTCCCTCTCTGCCTTGAGAGCCGATCCGGCTCGCGCGGCTCGCTCCTCGGCGCCCTTCCTCATCGCAGCGCCTCGTTTTGTCTGTTGCAGCCGCCTCTGGCGGGCGATCAGCTGTTGCGCCCTCCTCTCTGCTGCCTGCCGCGTGCGTTCCTCGATCGTTTCCAGCGTTGCTGCAACATTTTCTGCCTCCGCCAGATGGCGCTGGAGCCTGGCGCGGCGATTCCTCAGCTCGGCAGTCAGCCTGCGATGCATCTCCTCGTCGCATTCCTCGCCCGCCTCTTCATCCATCGACTCCTCCTCGCTCTCTTCGTCGCACTGTGAGGACTCGACTTGCTCCGCTTCGTCCGCCTGGAGTGGCGGTGCAGCTGCTGCTGCTGCTGCTGCTTCTCCGTGCGCTTCTGCTGCGCACGCGGGCGGTTATGCTGCTGCTGCTGCGGCTGCTGCTGTTCCTCCTCCTGCAGCTGCGTCGGCGGGTGCTGCTGCTGCCAGCGCTGCCGCGGGCGGTGGGAACGGCGGTGGCATTGGCTGCAGGGGCGGCTGTTGCTGTTGTTGCTGCCCCTTCGCTTCTCCTGCGGCGCCGTCCATTTCCTCGGGGCGCAAACTACTTCAGCTCCCCTCACGATCAGGGGTTCTCGTCGCGTTAACTCTCCTTCACCCCGCCCCCTCACGAGAGGGGTTTCTCCTTGCATTTCACCCCTTGCACAGGGGATCGGAGGGGTCGATCCCTTCTCGTCTGCGTGGAGGGAGGGGGGGAGGACGGTCCATCAGCATGTCGCGCAGCGAGTTCTCCCTGCCATCGCATCTGCGCTGCCAGTGCCTTCAGGGTGCAGAGTTAGTTAGCATCGACGAACAAATAACCTCAGAACATCAAACTTCGAAACAATCCCCTATGCTGAGGGGTCTTTAGGTTCACACCGGTTCACACCCCGATCGGAACATATTTTACCCTGGCGTCGCCTCGCTCGCTCCACCTCGCTTTTGCCGCCGCGCCACCGCCTGCTGTTGCGGTCAGCGTCGCCCCGCTCGTGGAACCACCGCGTCGCGT